GGGTACTAAGGGCTTCGGGGTCCCAGTGTGGTGTGCGAGTTTGGTGCCATGCATGTCAGAAAAGGGTTTTAATAGTTGTGGAAAAAAATGTGTGAAATGTTGATACGTCATGAGTGTTGTGGTGTAGGAGCGCCAGGATCCGGAGGAGGGACTCCCTGCGCCACGAGCCAGAGAGGAGATGGAGGCGCTCTAGTCCTGCAAGAACCATCATTTGTGTGCATGGGTTGAAAACACTCACGGGGGGGGGGGGGGGGGTAGAAAACAGGAGTTTTTAAAGGAGAATATTAACAGTATATTCAGTAAAGCTTGGAGTCACACAGCGCCCATTTAAGAGAGGGGGGAGGCTGCTGTCCGGCTGTGGAGTCATTTTGGAGAGCAGTTCTAATTTCGAGGGGGGGATTGGTGGTGCGAACTCTGATATGAAGAAGAAGAGATCAGTTTGTGTGAAGATGCGAGGTAACGTTGAGCTGATATCTTACAAATGACGCGCTAATTGTCATGTAAACAAATGAGGGAGGGGGGGGGGGGGGGGGGAGAGCGCCGTTTACGCATGGGGGCGTGGAGAGAATTAATCATCGCTTACATATTTATTTCCTTTTTCCAGTGTGCCCCCCCCCCCCAAAACCAGACTTTTTTGTGCTATTTTATTAGAACGTTAATAGAGTGATAATGACCTATAGGGCCTGTTTTAATCCGCATACCTACATGTTGTGGGTTTGTCCTCTCTCATCCACTCGCGCGCACACGGACAGATGGACACCCGATCGCGTGAAGTGTAGATTCAGCGGAACGTATTTTTTTAATACGTTTTAAGAAATTATTGACGGTGTTTCTCGGCCTGCCTGTGTTGTTTTTTTCTCTCTCGCTCTTCCTGCTTGGCTCATTCGTCTCTCTCTCTCTCTCTCTCTCTCTCTCTCTCTCTCTCTCTCTTTCGCTCGCTCTCTCTCGTTCCTCCTCCCATTCCCAGCCGTTCAGACCGCCGCTTGTCTATTGTGCATAATTCCTCTATTTAAAAAAAAAAATACTGCGGATGGCTTTTAATTATTAGAGCAAATAGAAAGCGTGTGTTTGGAGACAGGGCCGCTGGTTGGATACGTTTTGTCGGTTTTTGTAGGTTGATGTCGGGGCTGGTACACGAAGGAGAGAGAGAGGGGAGGGGGGGAGGGGGCGTTGGGCAACAACGAGGATTTAACGTTGACTTCAATGACATTTAGTCATTAACGATATTAATTGTGGCTAATTAATTAAGGCGGATTAATTAAATGTGTCGTTTTAATTTTACATATGGAATTGATCAGGAGCCCGGTGTCAACAAATATTTATTCTGTTTTGAATATCAGCTTGTTATCATTTTAACAATTTTTACATAATTTTAATAATTTCAGTTTTTACCTTAAATGTTGAGTGAATTGAGCGTTCTGTCAATTATAAGAGCTACATCTTTTGAAGGGAATACTATCTTCAATAAGTGATATTTATTGATTTTATTTAAGGGTGAAATAAAGGAGATGATTGAAGGTAACTTGGAGTCATGCCTAAAGGGGCCATGTGCTGTTGTGACTGGAGGGGGGGATGTCATCCAGTACCCTTAAGAAGTACAAATGGAGCAAATTGTTATCACACATCACTCCGTTGTATTTGTGTGTGTGTGTTCGTTGTGGCTCTGCGTGTACCTGAGACGGGCTGATATGCAGAAACACTGATCACGTCTCTGAACCAGCAATGGTGTTGAAAGCAATTAAGGGGTCATTAAATGTGTGTGTGTGTGTGTGTGTGTGAGTGGAGTAATTGTTTCATTTCAGGCTTATTTGACCCCGTTCAGATATTTAAATGAGATGTGTGTGTGAAACACAATGCTGCATGCTTTCATCTCGCTCTTCCTTTTGGTGTGTCGCTGCTCTAGCGTGTGTGTTTCTTCAGACGTGGACCGTGCAGGAGTGTGTGTGCCCCTCCCACGGGAGACCCACTGTGTTCATATAGTGTGTGTGTGTGTCTCCCCCCGCTGTTTTAGACCTACTATACTGGATCTGAACTGTATCCATTTAGAAGACAAATATTTTAACTGACTTCCAGCATTAATTTAGTTGCTGGTGCCATTTTATCTTTCTTCATTTGGTATATTTAATAGATATTTAATAATTAATTGTCGTGTCAGTGTGATTTTCGTGTATTTGAAATTAAATTTGAAATTCTTTTTGCAGTTTGAGAGTGAATGTCATTCAAATACAAAAAATGATTTTGTCCCTATTAGCCGTACTCTGTTTATTTCTCTTAGAAGCAGAAAGTAATTGATTAGATTATTATAATTTTTTTAAAGGCCACCTTTACTTTTGAAATTCTCAGCAAAGCAACAGGCTCTCGGGGTCGTGACCTTGTTCTTCACTTCTCCTTATTTAGCTGACAATAGATTTGTTTGTGTGCAGGTGCTCAAGAGTTTGAAACTGAATGGAACTGAAGTCAGAGAACGAACCTTTCCCTCTAGAGGCCACAGTCGCTTTTAAATTCCTAATTATTCCCATTTTTTTATTTTACAGCTAGTGTTTCTTATTTTTGGAATAGAATAGGACCGACTGCAAATGTTTGTCTTTGTATTGTTAGTTTTTGGTGTAATGATGTAGCACCATGTTAATCTTTCTAGGGAGGTTTTCTTCTCCTTGCAACATAAAATGTACAGATAGTACAGATTTAATGTCTTTACACATCAGCGTTTGTCAAAATGTGTGTGTGTGTGTGTGTGTGTGTGTGTGTGTGTGTGTTCAGGTAAAGCTTCACCGGCACATCAGTCCAGACCACCTGCTGCAGGTCTGCTCCAGAGTTTGTCCCCTGCTGGAGACGGAGGTCCCCGCCAGCGTGCCTGGACTCAGCAGCCTGCTGGGGGCCGGCCGGCAGAATCTCCTCCGCACCAGCAAGAGTGAGTGGATGTGTCGCTCACACGGGTTACTTTAATGTACACGCATGCAACCAGCAGCCGCTCTCGGCTTCAAAGTCTCTCTGTATGTCTGTGTCGACTAACAGGACCCACTTAGTGTTCTTATTATGCAAATAGAAGCGCACGGAACAAGCTCGCGTGGACGGGCCACAATACAAACTGCATAATTTGTTCCCCTGTGTTGTCTTTATGCGTCTCTTTTGTGTTCATCTTCCTCCAGGCTGCAAGCATGTCGTGTGGAAGGGCTCGGCGCTGGCTGCGCTGCACTGTGGACGCCCGCCGGAGCCGCCCGTTATCTACGGGAGCCCACCTAGCATTGGTGAAGACAAACACTTACTTACTTAAAAACATACAACCACTCTCTCCACTCTTTGTTTGTGCCTTTTGATCTCCAGCCTATGAGTCAGATCTTACATACTACACTGTATCGTTGCTCACCAAGCTCTTTACTGCCAGTAGCATTTAACAGTGTTATTGATCTGCTCCGGAGTCGCACTGTATTTTCTGCACAGGGTTATCCACTGTTGTGGCCCACTCCATGCTCTTTTAAAAATAACAACAAATGAAATGAATGGGTTTTCATTGATTTGATTTCTTTGCACATAACAACGATGTCCTCACCGGCGTCTTGTCTTTTTTTTCTTCTTGCACGTCCAGTCGAGACGAGCTTCGGCCGCCGACTGAACGGCTCCTACCGCCTCCGGCACCTGGTGCCCACGGTCGTGTACCTGCACATGAAGATGCACAAGAGGATCCTGGGACACCTGTCGTCAGTGTACTGCGTCACCTTCGACAGGACGGGGCGGCGCATCTTCACGGTGAGGCTGCGGTCTGTGTGTGTGTGTGTGTGTGTGTGTTGTTGGCCTCAGCTCGGCGTACGTCTCGCTGCTGGTGTGACGCCTCTGCGTGTGTTTGGTGTCCATTCAAAGTGGTTTCATTGTGTTTGTTTCCAGTCGCCTCTTGTGTGCTGTGTAATGTGTCTGATTGTTACAAGCTGTCTCGTGATGTCCGAGGGTCCGTTCTCCCTGTTGTAACAGTGGTAGGAGGTAATTACTGTTTACCTTCCCCGGGTGTCGCTTTTACTGAATGACTCACAGCTGTTGCCGAAATTTGTCCCGCAGGAGGGCAAAACGTACACATCTTCATTATGATGAATAGTTCTAATAGTTTTTAAGAAGGGAAACGAGGAAGGTCTTTTTTAAAGGAGGCCGTTGACCTTTCCCCTCTGAAGGCCCCTGTGTGACGTGTTAGCTTCCTTTGGTTGTGTTGGAGATATGGCACGTGTTGAATATTGAAAGGAAGAATGAGATGATGTTGCCGTCCTTCTGTTTATTGGATCCTTGAGTCTTAACACTGCCTGATGCTATATACCATTTTCAGCTTTCACTTCTTAAATCTCTAAAAATGGCTGGCTGCTGAGGAGGAGGAGGGAGGGGGGGGTGACTCCCTCTGTCTCTTTTTTTCCTCATCTCTCTTTCCACAGTTCTTACGCTCCCTGCACTTGCGCTCTCTCTCTCTCTCTCTCTCTCTCTCTCTCTCTCCTTCTTTTTCTCTCCCACGTCCCTCATCCTGCGATGCCCCTCCTTTGTTCCTTTCTCTCCCTCCCTCTCTCTCTTCTGTCCCCCCC